ACTCCCATGTACACTGACCCCAGCTCTTCTAGCGCATGTGGGGTTAGAGTTGGTTTGAATTTAGAGTTTGAGCTTCAGGCTGTAGTTACCTTTAAGACTACTCTGATCTGATTTAGGGCAGGAATCAGGGATTGAGTCTGGGACTAGATTTCAAGAGACAAATTTTTATTTAGGCCTGAGCAGCATTTCTCAGACTTTCCTGATAGATTCATCTGAAGCAGTAACTGAAAACTTACCCCCAGGTCCTACTCCAGAATTTCCAGGGGAGGGGCCCAGAAATCCAGTTAAAAAACAAAACAGCCCTGACCGGTTTGGCTCAGTGGATAGCGTGTCGGCCTGCAGATTGAAGGGTCCCAGGTTCGATGCCGGTCAAGGGCATGTATCTTGGTTGCGGGTACATCCCCAGTAAGGGGTGTGCAGGAGATAGCTGATCCATGTTTCTCTCTCATCAATGTTTCTAACTCTCTATCCCTCTCCCTTCCTCTCTGTAAAAAATCAATAAAATATATTTTTTAAAAAAAACAACAAAAAACATTATACCTTTCTCCCGAACTGGTTTGTTTTTAATCTAAGAAGTTTGGGAAAAGCTAATCTGGAGTTCTCGGGGAGATGAGGGTGAAGAAAAACTGTTCTTTCTAGTCCCAAGAAAGAACAGACTCAAAAAACAGACTGTTTCATCAGGATTTCTCCGGGCCCACATAACAGTCAGACCCAGATTCTGCTTGTCTGGGGTGTAACATGTAAACCAGGTGCACCTGAGACATGGAAATAACATCAGTCCATGTGGCAGGTGGTGCAATCTGGTGTCCACAGGCACACCTTTCTCCCCCCACTACTCTCCCTCGTGAACCCACAACATCCCAGGCTCAATTTCTTTTCTCTACACAGACCACTCTACTCTAAGCCTCTGTCCTGAGACCCAGAACCATATAACCTGCTGCCTCTTCATACTTCTACTTGATAGACTATCCTCATACCCATCTTGCCCCAAAGAGGACCTTTTCTGAATAGTAACACTCTGTGACCCAAGTCATCTAGTCCCAGCTTGATTTCTCCGCTCTTTCACCTCCAGGTGTGATTTTTTTTTACCAATTAATCTATTACAGCCTTTTCTCGTATTTAACACACCCTCTCTCTCTCTCCCAACCTCATTACATCATCCACTCTGCTCTGATTATGAAAAGTGCTTCCTATCTCACCTTCCTGGCTTTAAACCCAGTCTGTGTCAGTCCACCTTTCACATCACTACCACCTACACAGCAAACTTGCCATGTCAGGCTTCTAGTTAGCAAGTTACAGGTGACTCCCAAAGCCTTCAAGACAGAGTTGAAATCACCTGGTCCGAATTAAAGGCCATTCCCAGTGTGGCTCCAGCTTAACCTTCCAGCCATCAGTTTCCTTCTTCATTACCAATCACCACCACCACCACCACCACACATATTTTTCCTGGGTAAATTAATTTCGCTTGCCTTGTTTCTTCAGTGAAGGGTGGGAGGCAGGAACTGGGGAGTTTGAAGTTAGGAAGAGGTCTCAGAGTGGTTTGAAGAAATTCCTCTTTGGGTAGGTCCCTGAACAAGGTCTGAAATTCAGGCCTCTGTGATCTGGGAGGAGTAGGAGCAGGCAGACTCTCCAAGCAACCGGGCTGTCTCAGCAAAGGCCAGGCTTCCTCAGAAATGCCTCCTATCCTACAGTCTCTGTAGCAAGCCTCACCTACCCTACCAGAGCTGAACCTAACGCACTCACCTACAGTATCTCTGTCCAAAGCCACCGCCCATATATAGCTTTTCTGGAACCCTAGGGAGTGTGAGGGATAATGAAGAGTGAATTACTCCAGGCTCTCTGGGAGCCACGCTCTGCTCAGGTGCCCCCGGAAAGCTGAGCCCTGAGTTCTACCCAAAGGGGCTACGCTATGTTACCATTCTAAGGCCAGCTCAGGAGACTAGAGGGAAGGCAAGTGCCGTAGGTTGGACAGAAGAAGAGGAATGACCCGGAGCTACTGGAATGGCAGTGTGGGCACACACTAGAAAACACACAGACAAGGATATTCTCACTCAGGCTCAGAATATACTGTCCAAGGGTATCCAGAGCTGTGCTCAGGCAGCTTCTCACTTATTGATACTGCCCTCTTGTGGTAGTCTTGGGGAGTTGCAGCCCCTTAAGGTCCTAAGGAAGCAACTCATTCCACAGTACTATGCTGCCCCTTAGCTCTCCCTTTCTCTCAAGACAACTTTCTTCCTTGAACCACACTAATCGCCGGCTTCTGTTCTCCAGCGCCACACACACACAATGTAGCGTGGTTGTTCTCCAGCGCTACACACACACACACACACACACACACACACACACACACACACACGGTAATGTAGCGTGGTTGTTTTTATATGTAGGACTCAGACTTGTGTCCAAATCCAAGCCCAACCACTTACTCATGGCATGACTACTCCTAGCCTCAGTTTGAAGAGAAAAATAAAATACTAGCAACTCTCCGTGAATGTTTATGCTCATTATAATTATTCAAAACAACTGGAAGAGCCACTGGCATAGGAGAAAATCCAGTTGAGATAGTGCTACAACAGACGGAGGAAGAAAATACATTGGGAGGAACAGAGGGCAGCAGTGCAGAGGCTGCTGAGAGATCAGGCAGTTTATAGGCTGAAAACAGAGAAGGTCACTGGTTACCTTGGGATAAGTGTTGAGGTAAGCTGGTAGGAATAGAATCTTAAATGAAGTAGAGAGGCGTATGAGGAAATGGAGAACGTGGATGTAGATAACTTTTTAAATAATTTTGTACATGAAGAGAAGCAGTGAAATGGGCAATATGTGAAGAATTGATAGATCAAAGGAGAGTTTTAAAATGTGTATTTTGGAGCTAGAAGAGATTGAACACAAATGTCAACAAGATGGAGTTAGTTGAGAGGCTCTCTGTCCTTTACTCCTCACATTACTAGAAAGCACACCTGTATCACTTGGAGTTCTTCAAGGCTATGACCCTGGTTGACCCTCTGTCTTTCCCTCTCTACATGGTAACCATGAGTGGAGTGGGAGCAATATCACCTGTTCCTATAGTTTTTATCTCCCAAACAATCCAGACCAACATCCTGAGCTCAAGGGATGACAATGTCTATAGGACATCACCATTTAGGTGTCCCTAAGGCACCTCAAACTCAGCCCCTCCAACTAAACTCATTATCTCTGGTCCCAGTCTGTGCCCCCAGTGTGGGTTTTTTGTTCCTTGTCACAGAAATGATTCTGTTGCCCAAGCCAGAAATCTAGAAGCCATCTTTTCCTCCTTTTCCTTGTCTCTCTCACCTCCCCATCCAAACACATCCAGTCAAGCACCAAGTCCTTTCATACAGATGGCCAATAGACATATGAAAAGATTCTCAACATGGCTAATTGTTAGAAAAATGCAAATTAAAACCACAATGAGACATCACCTCACACCTGTCAAAATGGCTATCTTTAATAAATCAACAAACAACAAGTATTGGCGAGGATGCAGAAAAAAGGGAACCCTTGTGCACTATTGGTGGAAATGCAAATTGATGCCGCCACCATGGAAAACAGTATGGAGGTTCCTCATAAAGTTAAAAATGGGTTGCCTTATGACCCAACAATTCCACTGTAGGGATTTATCCGAAGAAACACTAATTTGAAAGACTATATGCACCCCTATATTTATCGCAGTGTTATTTACAATAGCCAAGATGTGGAAGCAATCCAAGTGCCCATCAACAGATGAGTGGATAAAAAAGCTGTGGTACATATATAATGGAATATTACTCGGACATAAAAAAAAAATGAAATCTTACCATTTGCAATAGCATGAATGGCCCTAAAAGGTATTATACCCAGTGGAATAAGTCAATTAGAGAAAAACAAATACCATATGATTTCACTTATGTGTGTAATCTCAGGAATAAAATAAATGAGCAAACAAAATTGAAGACACAGAGAGTAGGCCCAGTCCCCCAACAGTGAACTCCCCCTACCAGAGAGGAGTGGCCATTGAGGGACTGGGTGAAAGAGGTGAAGGGATTAGAAAGTACAAATTGGTCATTATAAAATAGTCACAGGATGTAAAGTACAATATAG